GGAGTATTTTTTTGTTTTTGTTTTTTGTTTTTTGTATGTGGTTGTTTTTTTAACAGTTGCAAGTTTTCTATGCTATTTTCCGATATAACATGTCATACATGTTCTTGCATATCATTTGTCCTGAAATAACTTTGCATTTTCATTTTGAACATTCATATTCGTTTACGTTTTAGGGCTACGTGATTAACATATACCGCTTGTAAAAGAATAAGGCAATGTCTTAGGGTTAGACGAGAGACGTCGATCATTCCGTAATCGTACGAAGCCTTATTATCGACTACTAACTACTGGACTTTATTTAAGATGAGTAACACGATCGTCGTAATAAGTGCTGCTTATCCTTCCTGGGTACCTGAGTTAACTTGGCAGCGCTGGTGACATTTGTGCTGTGTATTGTGTAGTAACCTGAGTTAACTCGGCACTTTTTGTGAGATGTGTGATGCGTATCTGTGAAGTGACCTTGGTTAACTGGGCTATTTTGATGAGGTGTGTGCTGCGTATCTGTGCAGGGACCTTGGTTAACTCGGCACTTTTTGTAAGGTATGTGCTGCGTATCTGTGTAGTGACCTGGGTTAACTCGGCACTTTTGGTGAGGTGTGTGCTGCGTATCTGTGTAGTGACCTTGGTTAACTCGGTACTTTTGGTTATGCGTGTGCCGCGTATTTGTGTATTGACCTGAATTAACTCGGCACTTTTGGTGAGGTGTGTGCTGCGTATCTGTGTAGTGACCTTGGTTTACTAGGCACTTTTGGCGAGGTGTGTGCTGCGTGTCAGTGTAGTGACCTGAGTTAACTCGGCACTTTTGGTGAGATGCGTGCTGCAAACTGTCTAGCGACCTTGGTTAACTCGGCATTTTGGAAAGGGGTGTGATGCGTATCTGTGTAGTGACCTGAGTTAACTCGGCACTTTTGGTGAGGTGGGTGATACGTATCTGTGTAGTGTTTTTGAATCGTTTGCATGGTCACGGACGTGTCTCTTCATTTTCCGTGATATCGATTTTACTGTTTTCGTTAAAAAAAAAACCAATTTACATTCAAATATTAAAACTCACAAAAAACCCTCTATTGTTCATTAATTTAGTTAGAAAAGAGGGGGGGGGGGGGGGTATTTGACATGATGCGCAAAATCTTGATTTTATAATTCTGTCTTTACAGAAAAATAACGTAATCAGTTTGAAAAGATATTTAAGAAGAGGGAAAATAACAATCAGTAAATGTTTAAATTCGTATTCTTCGCATTGTGAAAGACATATAAATTACAGCCCTAATATGAACTAATCAGTTTTAACTGATTAACCTTTCACAAAACATCTGTAGTTTTTATGAATCATAATATCGAAAAAAATAATATGTTAAATCCTAAAAATTAGTAATTCAGTAAACTTAATTAACAACCAATATAATTGCATGTTTTCAATGAATTTACATAAATAACATACATAAACCTTTATGATAAGAATGCATGGTCATACAAATGAATATATATAGGCTCTTTATAATTACAACAAATCGCTCCCCTTACAACCACCAAGACTCTAAGTGCAATTCATAAAGACTGGCCTAGGGATTATTTAAGTCAATTTAAGCTTGAATAGTACAAGTTGTAAGGGATTAATTTTTTTGATAAAATTTCCTTTTTTGGTCTTTTTTATTCAACGTATGCACCAACTCATTGAAAAATGGTTCAGAGTAGTAAAAAGGTATTTGACAAATGAAATTGCTTTTCACGGTGACCTTTCCTGGTAATTTACCAAAAATGATATAACATGGTAGTGGCAAGCAAAAAAAATCGATACCAAGAAACGGCAAAATCCCTTTTTTTTCATTAAAGTTGAGAGGTTCATATATTAGCCCTACCCGACTTATCTGAATTTGGAGGGTTTTAACAAATGCTGACAAAATAAATGTAGTGTTAAGGTAGACGTATGCTCTGTAATAAGGTATATAGCAGATTTATATAATAATAATAGCAAAATGAAGACAACAGATAATACTCATTACATGATTTAATTCACCATCACACAAGTAAAAAAAAAAATGGCAGAAAAGTTTATTGTCATATTTTTTTTCCATTTTTTTCAAAAGCAGTTATCTAAAAAGTTAAAATTATACAAGAGCGAAAGCCTTGTGTGATCTGTAACAACTCATCACACAATTACTAAGTATTAGACAAATATCAGAGAAAAACAACAATAAACAGTACATCGAAACACATGTTTAACTAGGTGGACCTGTTTTAGTGGACATAACTCTTATGTCTCACCTTCAAATCTGATCTTTATGTAGAGCAATTCCTGCTTTCCCTTCTAGATCACCTGAGATCATTGTAAGTTTTGGCTGGGGTTCGTGTTGCTCAGTCTCTAAGTAATGATTTTTGAACTTGTTTGTCTTTTCGTCGTCTTTCGTTTTTTGCCATGGCGTTGTCAGTCGTTTTTGCCATGGCGTTGTCAGTCGTTTTTTGCCATTGCGTTGTCAGCTTCTCTTGACTTATGAGTTTGAATGTTCCCTTTGTACCTTCCACTTCTTTTTCCCTTTATTTCTAGACGTCACTCAAGTAAAGAAAATGTCCAACAAACACTTTCCAGTACTGAAAGCTATTGTCATGGCAAATTAGAATAATACATATATGTGTGCAATGGTTGGGAATGTTAAGTGTATAAATTAGATTTATGATATGAGGGGTTGAAAATAACACATAAACCACAACCGCTACCACTACCACTACCTATCAGTGGCGCGCTTAAAAGGTATTGTCGTGGCAGTGTTTAATATATATGTTTATATTTAACAATTAACGATATAAGGGGCGAACCCTTAATTGCATGTTAAAGTTCTTGAAATGGCAAGCAGGACTATATATATTTTCGGGATGAGCATATAAAAATCGATTATTTGTCCTTGTCGGTAAAGAGTCAGGGTCAAATGCCATCTTCCATGGTACGTAATCCATCGTTTTGAGGTGCCATATATCAAAAGCATACGCCAAAGGATAAAAAAAGTTATTCCTCTTGAGACAAAGGTCAAGGGCACATGCAGGTCTGGATGATAGGCGACACATAGTTTTATGGTATACTATCAAAATATAAAACGTTATGGTCTGGACAGGGTTGAATGAGAAGAATCACAAGAAAAAACAGTTCTTATGCATATTGACTCCTTTGGCGAAAGGTTAATTGACATTATAAATATCTACTATAAACTAAAAATCAGATTTATATTTACAAAGATAGTTATGAAAAACTAGTTTTTGTCTGTTTACCTTATATTGAATTGACTATTTCATTGACCATGTTCGTTAAAAAAAAAGAGGATGGTGTATAAAGTAATCACCGGCACAGTTGCTTGTTTGTTGTAACCTCTTGAGCAGGTACACCTCTAAATTCCGTCCCCTGTCGAGAATTATAATTAAGTGCAAGGTCACATATACCCAATGGAAATAAACTTTAATTTAGTTTATAACGATTTTATTTGCTCAAAAATACAAATACATGTACAGCTGAAAATCCTGACTGATACATATAAATGAGTTTGTTCCTATGTATATGGTTATAAATATGTTTGTAGACTACCCTCTCCATTACTTTTCCTACACAGCTAATTAAGGATATCGGTCGATAATTAGATGGTAGGGATGCATCTGCTTTCTTAAATATGGCAATTACATTGGCTATTTTCATGAAGAAGGGTATTTACCTTGGAACAGGGATTTATTAAGTATTATTTTAAGGGATTTTGCAATTTTTTTGACTGATTCTGTCTGGGCCAGATGCTTTTTTAGGATCAAGAGTAAGAAGTAAATCGATTATTTCACTCTCTGTTATTTGAATATCACTAATTATACTTTCCGTTCTATTCTCAAATTATGGCAGCTCAATATTTTGTTCTTCAATTTTTAATATTGACGCGAAGTATTTAATCGTTAGTTCACATTTGTCAGTATCGTCATATACAGTATGGCCAAAATTTGGCTCATTATTTATATTTTGAATTGGTAGAATTACGTTATTCTCCGTATTATATTTTATTAACATCTTTATTATTTTCCTGTGATTTTAGGACTGGAATTATCTAATAAAAAATATATCAAAATTTGGTCAAATTTTTCTCGGGCAGTTTTTTTTTCATTTTTATTATTTACCTTATTTCTTTGGTTTTTTTTTTCATTTTATCACTTTCTTATTATTTCTTAGAACTGTTTTCCGTAACCTATCGCAAATTCTAATTTCCTTTCTACCAAGGTTTGTCATTACATCTTATTATGAAATTTCTTTAATTAGTATTAACTGCAATTTTTTTTTTAAATACCTGCATCATGAGCTACAGATACACCTGTTGTTTGTGCATTGAATTTGATGCAAATATATAAAACAATATTATGGCAAGCAGCTATTGATAACATGCTCCTGGCTTGGGACAGGCATACACAGAAAAAAATGTGTATGTGAAGGGGGCATTAACTAAAAAAGTTAAACTATATTCTGCCAGACTAAAATATCAAAATCTACAAATATTGTTGGTAAAATTATATTCAATTATTACTAGTACTTTGTTTCGCGACAATATATAAACTGACATTTAAATTAATCTGTTTGCACTGTCCATAACGTTATGGTACAAACTACCTTGCCAAGCCAACAATTATTTCTAATTACTACAATATTTTCAAAATATAAAGGTAAAATAACAGGATGTTATGTCATTGTCAGTTAGGTGTTGGATCACGTTTACGGAAGGATTGGGCATTTCCTTAAATTCATGTATCTTTTTTTCATGCAATAGATTTACATGTAATAACATTGCATGATCACATTGGAACGCCTCCCCTTTTATTCTGCTTGACCAATTAAATCATAATGAAAATATCAAAAGTGATAAAAACACCTTGACAACAAAATCATACAGTTATATACAGATGTGCCTAATATATGACATTAGTTTTTCTATAACCCTTTGGAGTTTCGATATTCCTTAAATAATTTTTTAATTGATATGTTACTACAGTATGTAACGCAAATGATTGGCATAGAATATCTGATTGTTTTTAATTATTCATATTTTATCCACGATTTTAGATTGTTGTTGTTGAAATAAATATCTCATTAACCGATTCATCAATGTCGTTTTTGTGCAAAAGTGTGACTTCACAGGGCCGACTTTTACAAATACATTTCAACTCAAACTTCAAGCATCATCGATACAGTAAGTTTGTTATTGTTTTTTTTTTTTTTTTTTTTGCTTTTGTATGAAATTCGAAAGAATTAAATCTACAATTGATACAAAATCTTACAAATGACATTGTCTAAATGATTTTTTTTTGGTCTAAAATCTACGTAAAACACGGTTACAGAAGAAATCGGTTGCGTTTACCGGCAAAATAGCTTTAAGACTTGAGTATTATTCGTTAACTTCTTTGGAACCTCGTGAAATACCTTATTACTTGATGTAGTTAATGTTGCGGTTTTATTTTATCAGGAGTACTACTTAAGCCATATGACTACAATTTTATTTTTGCTCTAAAAGACTCTCTGGAATCAATATTTTGCATTTTTCTTGATATTATATTCTTAATTTAGAGCTCAGAAGTAACATAATATTTATATTTAAGTTATAACTAATTGGTATTGACATTATCGGTAGAGATACAGTGAAGAGATCGGTTAATTAACGGCCATTTCAGTGGCAAATAGCTCATTCATCATCTGCATGTACAATTAACAGTAGATCCATTATTGCGTGTATATGTACAATAACTCAACTATCTAGAATTTCAAATTTCTACTCCTCCTTTGTTCATATTTTCGTGAAATCTATTTCGGTTGACGGAAGTACAAATGTTATAGTCAGATGCAAGTTCAATCAACGTTGGTGCCTGTCCAAACTTGGAAACCTTTCGAATTAACCAAACTTCATGCTTTCATGTATTGCAATTACGAGTCTACTCTTTGACACGTTGAGTCGAACTTACGTCAGGCATTTATTTCCGTCATCAGGAATGGACATTACATCTTCGCACTTTTGTCTCTGGTTAATAGTTGTCTCATTGACAATCGTATCACATCCTATAATCATATTACGAAAATTGAAGCCACTACGAAGGGACAATTTGAAATTTCTGGATAGCTGTGGAATTTCACAAACAAAACACAAACAGAAACGAAACGGTAAGTCCTAATTTTTATCATTTAGTGGAAACATGACGCATTCAATGTGCCAGAGGAATGCGCAGTGGTGCGAAATATGAAAATACGAACTTACCTCCCTTGTGGAAAATAAGAGTTAAATGACAGTACGTATAAACTACTACTGTTATTGTTAGATTTTATGTATGAGAGCTAAATATATATTAAATATGGAATCAATTCATAAATTGAAATGTTGAAAAAAACTTTCTAAAAACATCTAAACCAATCTTTCACATTCCCAGTTTTTATTCTCAATTCTATATTGTTGATATTCGCTTAACCTATAGCTGTATAATGGAACCTATGGGATTGCAACCCGAGTATAAATCTTAATGACCGTAAATTGTACCATAGCTATCTATGGTATAATTTTCACGATTATACCATGGTTTTGTTGTATATGGTCTTCGAAAAGAAAAAGAAAGATAGCAAGACCTGGCCGTGGCCGCCTGAATTTTTTGACATGGGAACAACAGAGTCGGTGCGGGGCCACTTAAGCTAAATTACATAATCAAGCGTAAAGTATCTGCTATTATTCTTGAAAATTCCGATTAATTTGTTAAAAATTAAATTTTTCCTTCTTGACTTTTTCTGCGAAAGAAGTTTCAAACAGTACAGAAAAAATATCTTCAATTAAGGATTGTCGTTGGTTCCCATAGAAATTTCGATAATTGATGATATAAAATCTTGCAATAACGTGCAAAATAATGTCAAATTTAGAAAGTCAATGTGTTGTCATTTGGGGAATTTGTGCTAAAGGCGGATCTTTGGTAATTAACTAAGTGCGAAATTTTAAAGATTGACATATTGTATAGACACCAGTCTATCTTTAACGTTTGTACATCTGATGATCTCTAGGTCTTTAATTTAGATTTCTATTTCATTGACTTATATCCCACACCTCCAGTTTTTCAAAGATATGATATTTGCTTTTGCATACGATCTGGAACTTTTAAATGTAACCTTCGCCTGTAATGCATTAGATTCATTGAATTCTCATTATGTTGAAGTAATTGCATCATTTATCTGAATAGTAACAAACATGGATCATGAGACCAATGTTCGCTTTTTGCGATTTCAAACACATTCATCTTTGTGTATCAATAAATTAGAATTTACATGTGGTTATGTGACATGAAAACAGTCTTCATCTTATACCTTTCATTTTAACAAATCAAATTATTAGGAAAATAGCAAAAGTTAGATAAAAAAACACTTTTAGTTATTAAACATTTCTAGTCCAAGTGTGTGATATGCGACATAAGTTTTCTCTAAACTTTTGGAGTTTTAATATTCCTAAAATAAACTTTCGAATTATGTGTTTGTTTTGAAACGCATATATGATTGACTTGAATTAATAACATTGTTTTCTTATCATTCATATTTATATCACGTTGTTTAAATGATTCATCAATGTGTTTTTCTGCAAAAGATTGACTTCATAGGAAAAAATGTTTAATATATGACACAGCCACAAGTTACTGTTAGCATCATTACTGTAAGTTTGTATTTTATTCGTAAAACAATACACAACTAATGCAAAACCTTACAAATTATTTTAAATCACAATTGCTTTACTACATATTTAATTTTGAGCATTTTTTATCAGAAAATCTGTGCCTTGTGTTCAATTCGTACCGATCTAATTTGCTTTCAAAGTAAGGACACGATTAAATACGGTCCTTTTTTCTTAATATTTAATTTTTATCTAAGAGTTCATAGCAATCATATTATGATGGATTGGTTTTGACATTAATGTAGAAATGCAGAAAAGAGAGCAAATATGTGAGCACAATTATGATTTAATGTAAAATTAACCTATAGCTGTACAATGTAACCTATGGGAATGCAACAAGAGTATAAATCCCAATAACCGAAAATTATACCATAGCTATCTATGGTATAATTTTCACAATTATACCATGGTTTTGTTGGATATGGTCTTCGAAAAGAAAAAGAAAGATAGGGAGACCTGGCTTTGGTCTCTTGAATTTTTTGACACAAGAACAACATAGTTAGTGCGGGGCCACTAAGCTCAACTGCCCACTTTGCACCAGCCGATTTAAATGAATGCCTAGGGTGGGAATCGAATCCACGTACACCAACTCCAGTGTCCTATATTTTAAAATAAACAAACATATCCTCTCAAAACAACCAAACGAATAGTTTAAAAAATATATATAATCTATATTACTTGAAAATATCAGCTGATTTTCAGTTATTGAAATATATACTTAGATTGTATCATCATAGGCTCCACTGTACAGCTACGTGTCTAGATTTAAATTTGCCGAGGCTTTTTTTTTAAGAGGGATGGAAAAGGTGGCACGCCCCTTTTAAGGAGCTTCATATATATGATATATACATTAGACTATTTATAACAATAATGTTGGACCGTTAAAATTAGATAGCAACTGGTTACTCAAAATGCACAACTTTTTGTATAAATTACCTATAATCAACATGTGCATGATTATAATCGTGATAATTTTGAAATCCGGGTTCCCTTTTAATAAATGTATGACTTTAAAAGCTCTGGTGAAATTAATTTCCTTGTTATTAAAAATTAAGGTTTATGACCCCTTCTGTAGCCATGTGAATTACGAAATTTTCAAACTGCAAGTCTCAAAACAGCAAAGATAATGAATAATAGAGATGGGTCATATTGTACATATACTAAGGGGTAACTTCGTGCAAAGTATTATTATTTATTGATTCATTGCAATTAATATAAAAAGAGGATTTTGTGGAAAATAAAACCAAGATATTTGTAAAAAATCCACAGACTTTAATACAGAGATTATTTATATAAAATTTTAAACATAAATTACTCACTTGTTTTTCTATGATGTGCTAGCGTTAATTGTTTACAAAAAGTCCTAAACAATCTTTAAATTTAAAAAAACCTCGTGCCGAGTCAATAAAGTCGGGCGCACCCTAGAAGGTTTACTTGAATTGGTCCATATTTATATTTGTTTCAATCAATATCTAAACTTATCAACTTTTTTTAAGGAAATCATTGCTAGTACTCCATGCAATAATCCTCTTTCTATCAAGCACCGAATTGCCAAATATGAGAGTACAAGTGGAAAGACTGTGGATTTTCTATAAAATTTCCATATGTTTAGCATTGAATCAACACAAGGGTACATAATCCTTAATAATAAAAACAATTCAACATTTCAATCGTTGAGATGAAATAAATAAAAACTAACTCTAAATCTGGGATTCAAGAGAGCTTCCAAATATCAGAAAATCTGTGACTTATCCTGCGTCCATATCCAGAAAATCTAATTCCTTCGCCATGTTTTCGTCCAGATCTGTAACGTTATCCGCCACCAATGTAATTGTGCATCCTTTGGTGTCGAAAATTCAGGTCTAACTGATATTCCCGCGGTTTCAGAATCCCGTGCTTATTTAAGAAAGTAGGCGGAGCTTTGTGTGTAAGGCCCGAAAAGGGTTATTTAGCTGATTCTTATTAAAATTATTTTTAAATTAAACATACAAAAAAAAATGAAGTATAAAATTTTAAACATTAAAAGATGCTATAGGTTAAAACAGATATTTCATATCTTTTGGATAGTTTTGTGGTGTTTCGTAAATTATACCATAGTTTTTGTTGAAACCCCCGGCAACCTTCGGTCTCGTGAGGTTAAGGCCGGGGCTTTCAACAAAAAACCTTCGGTCTCGTGAGGTTAAGGCCGGGGCTTTCAACAAAAAACTATGGTATAATTTACGAAACACCACAAAACTATCCAAAAGATATGAAATATCTATAACTAAAAAGATGAGGTATTATTGCCAATGAGACATGCAGCTATCCACAATAGACTAAATGACGTAGATGTTATCAACTGTGTAGTCATCATACGGCCTTCCATGATAAGCAAAACCCATACTGCCTAGTAAGCTATAATAGGCCAGACATGAACAAAAATAATGCAAATAAAACGAGACAACCAACGGCCTGGTTTATGTAACAAACAATAAAAACCACCCGACTTGAGACTGACACAGCCTTAATGTGACGGGTGAAACACGTTATCGAGCGTTCAACCCGTCCCTCACATTGGACTTGAACTTCAAGGACAGCCCTTCACGAAAAACAATTCTTTAAATATATTTCATTCAACTCGACGGGATGGATCCATCCTTATATGTATCCAATAAGTACCTTATAATATGTTTTGCTAAATAAGTTTCTTTTTCAATTATTACATTTTTCTTATTACATGATATCAATTTAGTCAAAGCGATACTTAATCTTTTAAAATATTCATTTTCCAACCCTTTTATTCTGGCGATTATTAATTTTCACTGTCTAAATTTCTGTAAAATCGTCTACAATAGATGTTTTGTTGGTTTTTATATTGTTTTCGATAATAATATTTAAAAAAGTATATAAGCGTAATTTCACACTGGTTTTAACCACATTCATTTTTGAGTCTAGATATTTCATATTTAAATTACTAAAGCGGTATTTTAATTTGAAAAGGTTTAAATGTAACAGTAATCAGGTTACTTTGGTAATGTGAAATGACACGAAATGACAGGTGCAAATCAAAAGTGTGTTTAGCAGCTGTTATTTTACAGTATCTTTATATCTTCTTTACACGGAAAATAAGACATAACAAAATTATGATTTATCGGTTGAACAAACACGCTAACATAAGGAAGTCGGCGATAATTAGCCATAGTATTTCGATTAATTTTGTAAACATAACTTTTTTTCAAGTAATTCAACATTTTGTAAACAGTCAAAACACATTTGACGGCAATTGACCATGATAAGGAAATTAATGGAGAGTTGAGGATTTACTGCTAATAGTTTATGATCTTTATTATTGAAATTTTCCGCTGCAACGTTTCGAAGGAAACGTTTGTTTACCGGCTAAAAAGATGCATTTATAATTAATGCAAGATACTTTGGACCCAAAATATCGGCCCTCCAACTTGAAATTTTCAGTATTTAAGTAGCAATACACAGTTAGGAAAAAACTTTGGCACTCATAATTAGTAACCACCCTCTTTTTCTTGCTTTCTGATAAATTAAGCTTACTGTTTGTGTCATGTATGTGCATATGTATGGGAACATCATTTTCTAAAGATTTGATTTCCAATAGTTAAAATGGTGAAATATAATCTCTTTTTGGTGTAACAATGGCAACAATGTGTATTCATTTGATACAATATATTGCAAAAGGGGGGTGAAATGTCACAAGTGTCCCCAACATTTGGTCCAAAGTAGAATTTCAATCCATTTGTGTTCAGAAACCATTGTCATTTATCAACCAAAAGACCAGATAAAATTGCATCGAAAAGTTCAAGCGAAAACAATTTGTTGGAAAACATTACAATAATTTCTGGACCTATGGCTTACGGATGTGAAAAGGCGGACTGTCAAACAGAAAACGGCCTATAAAACATGCCAAAAAAAAACACACAAATTTGATGTTCATATAAACCCACTTTGAAGGCTATAGTGATATTACTCTTCAGTTATTTAATAATTAATTGTATTGCACAATCACTTTAATGATTTGAAAAATTCATCGGGGCAAAAATAACAAACCTCACCCCTAACTGTGTATTGCTATTCCTTAACATTTTCTCTGCGAAGGCTGATCAATTGAAAGTTCTTATATTGTCAGTCCTCGTGAAACTTACAAATTTATTGTTTGCTGTCATTTTGTGCGAAGGCCCTTTGTTCTTTTTAACAAATTGAATGAAGTGTTTGCATTTAATTGTAAAAGGGTTTTTGTATTTTTGTACATGTATTACCAACAATCAACTATAGTATGCATAATCATCAGCAACTGTAACATATACTTGGGACGATTAACAGCTTCATAACTAAGCATGACTTAAAGACTGCAAGTTGACTTCAAGATATCTTTCGGTATTTTTATTTTTTAACACAGGACACGTGATAAGATTACAAATTCCACGAATATTAAATCAAATTGTACATTTACCTAAAGCTCTAAGACCGCAACACATGTCGCTATGAAGTTGAGATACAGACCTATCGTATCGGTCAACTAAACCGTGGTTGATTGTTAAACTTTTGTAGTGTAGATTTTAACTGTTTTTCCTCAGAACTCTGTTGAAGCAGTTTTTCCGTATAGTGTGAACATGCACGAGCGTAACGTTAATGTATTATCGAGATATGTAAACACCAAACTATGGAACAGAGGGTATGTTACTGCTGAGAAATTGGAAGTTGACAATTGAAAAGTTGATATCATCACGTTTTTCATAGATTTTGTTTAATGTCGCCCATCTGTGTTTACATCAAAATAAGGATCAAGATATGAAGCAGACATTTTAGTTTCGGAAGTAATTTCATGTTCTCTGTGATACATGAGATGCAAACACTCACTCGATGAGGGTATTTAAGTGACAGGACATCATCAGTATAGTGAACTTATCGGGATGTTGATTTTTTTGTCTTCGAGAAGGTTTTTGTATGAATTCTGCATCATATGAATACAATAACAAGTCGGCCATTAGGGGTGTGCAATAAGTACTCTCAGAATACCGACTGTCTGCTGAAATATCAATCCACTTAACTCAACAAATATATTGACGATCATCTTCGGTGTATTTGTTTTGGGAATCTTAGCGGTTCTTCACAAATTAAGATATTTCATTCTCTATTTTTTTTAAATGTGTCAACGATCCTCAGTTTGTCGGAAAAAAAATTATTTTTTAATGAGACATGTATTCGATCTTTCAATTGAGCACGGGGAATAGTAGTGTAAAGAGTAGAAAAATCAAATCAGTTAAACCAGTTCTTTGTGACTACATCCCCTTTTGATATCTAGACCACATGACGTAAAAATAAAACACCCAATACAAAACTATAAAAATCTAGGTCTAGGTACTAACAGAAAGACCACTGAATTTTACAAGGACATAAAATACGGCATATAGTTTTGAAAGCTTGGGGTAATTAAAAATTTGTTCACTACTGCAGGAAGGTATCCAACACTGTTGTTTGAAGAATACTGCCGCTCGTAAAATAAAATCAGATACAACGTTCTTACAGGTTTTGTGACGTCTCATCTTAAATTTTTATTGAGTTCAACAGTTTTTCTTAGTGGACAGAAGGTTTTTAAAATCGTCAGATCACCGGAAGAAATTAAGTTGGACTATTACCTTTCAGACTTTGATAATTGCACTTTATAAATAACTGTCAGCAGTTAATCTTGTTCAAATTTTCCTATAATTATCTTTTGGTTTAAATACAATCATGTTTTGACTACTCCGATTATGGGTTCATATCTATCTGTCAAAGACGGTTTATGTCAGACTATCTAAACAATAGACAATAAATGTTTATTCCAGAATTTGCATTTATATTTGTTTTAATGATTTTATATGTTACTTTCAAATACTGTATAATTGGTTATGTAATAAGACGCTTAACACCGACTTCAAGATTGCAATATCTCCAAAATCTTGTTGGGCCGTCCAGAATTATAGAATTAAAATCCTCTTGATAATGCATATGGTATTTTATGTCGTATTTTCACTAGCCATCAATTATGTATTTATATGTTACAGATGAAGCTTCTTATATTAGTCGTTTCCCTCTGTATCACAACAGCTAGATCTCAAAATGGCAACAATGTCAATGTTGGAATGGGTAGTGTCCCTTTTGACAATCAGTATCGCGCTGTTGATCCTTTTTTAAATAGAGGTGTTGAAAGAGCAGGTGCTTTTGGTGCTTCCAGTCCTATGAATAGTATGGCTGCTGATGGACCAGCTCCTGACACAGTAAGTGTTTCAGATCCGATGTTTGGAGATCAAGCCTATACACCAAAGGCAAATAGTCCGAACCCGTTAGATCCAGTAGATCCAGATCAGCCCGTAGAGGATTATATAAAAGCAGAAGAGAGGGGAAACCTAATGAGCAACATGGCTGGAGGACCGGCTAGAATGGTTTCACCTGGTGCCTTCCGGCAGGTTGGTAATATGGGCAATATGGCTGGTGGAGGAGGCATGGGTGGATTATCAGGATCAGCTAATATGGTTGCATCTAATGCACCCCGAGTTGGAAGACTGGGTAACATGGCTGGTAGAGGAGCCAATGGGAGGGTTGAACCCCAGCGCAGATCTAGTAATCGTCGTCAAAGCAGAAATAATAGGTCAAGAAATATAATATATAATGGATATAATGGCGGGACACGTCGCGAGAAAATTAGAAAGCCATATGGCAAAAGAATAAAGTATGGAAAAAAGCAACGTAAGGTGAGTTAAATTAAGAATTGAACAAAATTATACAATTGTGAGAGAATTAGTGCCATATCAAAGAAAAAATGCAAATTAAAAAGCTTAAATAAAGAACTGTTCATAATTAATTGTTTAATTAAACCGGTGATAGTTGACTTTTTTATGATTTAACAAATTAACATAAAACATTGATATAAATAATAGTTAGCCTTTATGTCAATTTATACAAACCCTTTATAGTTCTTGTGACAGTCGAAATTCTTTACCCTTTTGTATCCCATCTCACACCTTTTCCTAATGAAATTTAATTTCATGTTCACATTTATATCATCATTATCTTCATTTTCATTGCTTCGAAATAACATTTTGTAATGCTGCAAGTGCGCGAAACACAAAAACCCATCACTAATAGATGCAACACAGATTTCAGACAAATCGTGGAATAGAAACTTTAGTTTGGCATGTGTAAAATTGCAGTATTGTTATATCAGTGTCTTATGTTACTCTTTTATTTTGAACCGCCTCGGTGGTCTTGTTGGTATAGAGTGTTCGCCTCGAGTTCGGGAGTTATTGGGTTCGAACCCCAGCCGGGTCAAACCAAAGACTGTGAAATTGGTATTTGGTGCTCGGAGTCAGAATGTGTCCTGGTAGTGTGTCATATTTGTTGAATTTGGAGGTAGATTTTTTCAGCAAGTTGTCGGCATTCCTATGGGAACGAACTGTGCGCCTCTCCTTGCCGATCTCTTCTTATTTTCATATGAGTTGGAGTTCCTTCAGATACTTGTCAAAAACAAGAAAATCAAAGAAGTCCGATCATTTAATTTCACATTCAGATATATTGATGATGTTCTTTCAATTAACAATCCAAACTTTTCTGATTGGGTTCCATTAATTTATCCTCCAGAACTAAAAAATTAAAGACACAACAGACACGACTTCCTCCGCCTCATTTTAGACTTATACCTCGAATTTGACATAAGCGGTCATCTCAATACCGGAATCTATGACAAGTGAGACGATTTTAATTTTTGAAATTATAAATTTTCCCCACCTTACCAGCAATATACCAACTTCATCTTCATATGGGATATACATTACCAAACTCATTCGGTATTCAAGAGCTTGCAGCTGCTACTCAGACTTAAACGTCACCAGTATTTGAGCAAAAAGTAAATGAGCCAATGATATGTCAAAGAACGTCTCGTAATGTTTCTAAAAAAGTTCATTGGAAGATACCAACACCTTGTTGATAAATATTCCGTATCAACTTCACAAATAATACATGATGGTCTTGAAGTATAGATTCTAGGTACTGACGTTGTTTATCATCTTAATTACGTGTTAAAGTCTCCCTTTTTTGTCCTTGTATATTTTTAACCTTTACTGTTTATCAATTTTTGATTATATACCAATGACGTGGATCGGTACTTGTACATCCCGCCATTGTGTTATTGTGCTATGGTCAATTTTGAGTTCTTGTCTTTCATTTTTGCTTATGTATTTTGTCCATATGCCATTTTGTGTTTCTTTGTTGAAACAGTTGTTTGTTTTTATAGTGATTAAGATTATATTACAATGTTGACTGCTGTACCCCGATTTTTGACGTTTTTACCTGTTAAGTCTGTTTGTTTTGCTCACACATTGTTGTCAATATAATGGAATTCTATGCGACTGTCATACAAGTGAGTGGTTTAGCTGGCTTTAAAACCAGGCTTATTCCACCATTTTCTACATAAGGAAATGCCTGTACCAAGTCAGGAATATGACAGTTGTTTTCCATTCGTTAGATGTGTTTGAGCTTTTGATTTTGCCATTTTATAAAGGACTTTCGGTTTTGAATTTCCCTTGGAGTTTGGTATTTTTGTTATTTTACTTTTTTTCCATATCTTCCTGCAAACTGTTACCTTGTGAATTAGCACATTAAAAATCACGCTCCTTGTGAACTGGCACATTAAAAATCCGACTCAGCGTGTCGGTCTAGTACAGCAGGCTAACTAACATGTTCTCAACCTAAGTATGCTTTTAATTTGCCACTAGAAGTTAAACAGCTATCCATCCATCCATCCATCTGTTTTGCTTAAACGTTTAAGTTTTGGTTTTGACATTTACGTCTTGTCTGAATTGACGCTATCAAAACTGTACTCAGCTTGGTTTTTTTTTTACATTTAAAAATTCAAAGAATCATTACAAGCATTTTTGTTTGGTCTAATATCTTTACTTTGAAACGATTCAATATAATTTTACTGAAACTTTTACATAGAAGTTTTCTATGTCATGCCTTTATAAAAATAAGGAGATGTGGTATGATTTCCAATGAGATAACTATCCACCATAGTTCAAATGAAGTGGTTGTAAGCAATCACTTTTGTATGCTAAAATTTAAACAGTGAATGCAAATCTGTTTGTTTTTGTTGTTCATGTCATTAGCAGTTCGTGTACATAATATACAAACTCACCGAACATACAATAAAAAAGGACAAAGAATTTAAGATAGGGAAATTAAAAACAGTAAAATTTAAAAGGACAGTGAAGAAAAAGCGGATATCAGTTCAAAATAAAGCTATTAATATTCAGATCCACGTCAGATCAGATAAAGATTATTTTAAACGCTTTCAGTGCATTTATACCAAAAAATAACCGACTAAACACATACAAAACAGATAGACATTGGACTCCTTCTGTTTCCCCTTATATAGTACCGTAAAACTAGAACATTCAAGTATGTGTTATAATTATCTCTTGTCTCATCTATAGGTATTCTTGTAATGGTCTTATGTACACAAATACGGTGTGAAAAAGAGATGAAATGTATATTACTTATTGTCAAATTTAAGAGAATAATAGTACAACAAATGAGGGCAAATACGGCTATGTTTGTATATTTCCAATTTAGTGGAAATCCATTGTTTCTCTTTCGTCATTGATCTAATGAACTAAAATAACTTATAATAATCCACATACACTATAGCTAGTACCTCCTTTTATATACGAGTCATATACATATTACAATTCATTTACTCAATCTATTTTCAGGGTGGCTACTGACACAGTGAACATGTTGATTCATCATTGGAAACAGACAATAGCTCAAAAACTTTTGTTTTATTCTTAAAGTTTGATATTTTTATTTATTCAACTGATAGATGCAGCAATACCGCTTTCCGGTACATAGTTGTAATCGGTTAATTGTTTAAATGTAAAAGAAAATGCTTCTTTTTTCATGTTTTTATCACACTTTTAAGAAATAAAACTTACAAATCAACAAAAAAAACAAACAAACAGAACATGCAAGTCCTGCAAATATAACATTTATGAAACTCAATCTCTCAAGGATAGAATATTTAAAAAAATATATGTCCGTATACTCCAGTTGACATAGAAAAAAAGATGAAAGAAATACTGAATTAAAAATTGAAATATTCATGGAATCTTTTCAACAATGGAAAGAAAAAATATCAAGCATATATATCTATAGATTTTTTTATTTCTTGAAAGATCTATAATCTGACTCAGATTTAGCAAGTATTGATCTAGAACATCGTGGGAACATAGAAGTATCAACAGAATGTAGGATTGTAATTGTGCATAGCTGTATAGCAATAGTATGAAGTTAATATATGTTTAAATTTATTGATAACAAAATCAATGTTTGTTAGTCTTGCATGATTTTTTAATTTTAGTTCATTTATATGTTTCGGAGTTTAGTGTGACGTCCATTTTCACTGACTAAACTAGTACACATTTTTGTTTAGGGATAAGCTGAAGCCCGCCTCCGGGTGTGGGATTTTTCGCTGTGTTGAAGACCCATTGGTGGCATTGGGCTGGTTGTGTTTGCTCTTTGGTCGGGTTGCTGTCTCTTTGACACATTCCCCATTTCCATTCTCAATTTTATCGATAAAAACCATATGCAAAGATCTTATTACAGTGTTAAATTGATAACCTTTTAAAATAAGCATACTTAAAGAATCGATAAGTTTACCCGGATTTTATCTAGATTTACGGGCTCTATTGACAACATCACTTTAAATTAGGATGTAATAACCTATTTGTAATAAGTTTTCCAATGTTACAACCAAACTCTCAAGCTAAATGTTTGTATCTTTTTTGTAACAATTTAATTACCAAGGATACATTTTTATACATAGATCACGTTTATTGAAATTTCTAACGTCACAACAGTAACAGAGAGGCGAAAGATACCAAAGGAACATTCAAACTCTTTAAACAAACACAAACTGACAATGCCATGGCTAAAAACTAAAAACGAACACAAACTGACAATGCCATGGCAAAAACCTAAAAACGAACACAAACTGACAATGCCATGGCTAAAAACTAAAAAGGAACACAAACTGACAATGCCATGGCAAAAAACTAAAAACGAACACAAACTGACAATGCCATGGCAAAAAACTAAAAACGAACACAAACTGACAATGCCATGGCTAAAAACTAAAAACGAACACAAACTGACAATGCCATGGCAAAAAAAACTAAAAACGAACACAAACTGACAATGCCATGGCAAAAAACTAAAAACGAACACAAACTGACAATGCCATGGCAAAAAAACTAAAAACCACCAAATGACAACTAACAGTATATTAACTGGCATATCGAACGAGTTAGGATATACTTTATAAACAATGTAAGATGGGATCATCCAAAAATAAAAATTAACAACATAGAACGAATAATCGTTTCGATTTTTTTTTTTGGTGGTTGGATATACATCAAATAATTCATTAATACAAACAGAAAAATACAGCAACTACTTTATTCACTCATTCAAACCATCATGGTCCCCAACAGTAAACTCGTTTCCCATTTTCATACCAAGTGTCATAACATCCGCCACAGTAGTTAGGGCTGAAAAGATTTTAAAAAATGCATAAATAAACAAATGTACGATAAACCATATCTTTGACCACATTCAACGATTTCTTACTTTGTCGGAGGGAGTTTGAACATGTTAGACAACTTTGTCGGAGGGAGTTTGAACATGTTGGACAACTTTATCGGAGGGAGTTTGAATATGTTAATGGTACCTTTAAGCTGCTTTAATCATCGTTTCTGGATTTTGTAAAATGTGGTGTCATTGATTGAATAAGTATGAGAATAAGTTCTTGTAATAGAATTATTGAACATATACTATTAAAAAACTAACTGATAAATAAAAGCACTACACGAATTGATTGCTGTTTCAAAATTGCCGTACGTCCAAATGTAAATTTTCAAGATTTTTTTAGGATAACACTACAAGAATAAATGGAACTTAACTAAAATTGTAAAAACAGAATTGTTGCCTATTTAAAGATCACATGCTATGTTTTTTTTATATAATATTTCAATATTTTGAGAGAAATTGTAAACCATTAAAATTAAATCAGAACTTTTCAATGGTAAAAGATCATTTGCTTGGTACACGTAAAATGAACAAAAATAAAGTTGATAATTGTGTGTTGATGGTATAGCTTTTAAATAAATTATTTCCGATAATTCGATTTACGACTTTTATAAGACTCCGGACGATTTAAAGCTTACATAGTGTATGGATACTCGTTTATTGTTGAAGACTATGTTGACCTCATTATATATTGTTTTGCTTTGTCGTGTTGTTTCGTCGCTGTCTCATTGGCTCATTACATATTGTTAATGACACGTTGAAATTACTCTTTTGAATAGAGTTTTACAAAAGACATTACAAGAAAACGGTTTTGCCACATTAAAGCTAGCAAATACAACTCCAGTTTACAAAAAGTAATAAACAACAGGTCAAATTTTTTGTTTAACATTATTAACCTTACTTATCCCTTTTCCCCTCTTCTGCAAAAATATGGACATTTTTTTCTCAAACTGTGGCAAAAATGCCTTATATGTGAATCTGTTTGCTCCTCTGGCTAATATAACTTCATTTTTATGTTCTCAATAAGAGGCTATTATTTTCATAACCTTTGGTAAAGATTTTGTTATTTTACAAGACTCACACGCAGGTTGCTGCTCTCCTCAAAGGACATGGTGCTCCATCGCATGGATTTCTTAAACAGTTCGACAGAGCCACTGGACAGTCAGTAGTTGTCTGGGAAGCAGGAAATGATGACACTACAAAAATAAATGTTACAAAACGTACTATGAAAAACACTTTTATAAATGATTTGTATCGTATATTTGACACTGTAACAAAAAAAAAACAAAAAAAAAAAAGATGGGCAAAATAATTATAGTGTTCGTGTTACAATATTCTATTTAACGTTACGCTTACCCAAAGAGATGCAACCAATGAGACCCAAAAGCAATATTTTTAACATCTTCTTTCAATCTACGCAATATCTATTTTAAAATTACAAGTAAGCCGTCGTACGTCTTATCTCTGATAAGAAGTATGGTGTTATCTCATTTCAATGTATGCAAGGACATCGTTAAAACCAAAATTAATTCATAGCAGGGTATCTTTTCAACATATCCTATATTCTGTTTCAAGTTTACAAGAAGAACGCCGAGATGACTGAGTGGAAATCTTAATATAAAGAACAATCTATTTTGTTTATCATTTATATAATTGTTTTGACTGTCGTTCATTTCCTGGAGTACACACATTTGTACCAGTTTAACCGCCTGAGTTGTCCGACTGTCCAGTTAATGGGCGTCTGTTGTTGCATTAGATTTACAAATATTCAGCTACGATTGGTCGGAATGGGGACGTTAAATTCGATGCCCGAATGTATAACGCTCGCTAAACGCCAAAGAACCGTTGCATCAAACTCTTTGAGGACGTCGTAAGTGACCTATTACAAGAAAAACTGTCTGCCCTATCGACCATATCACCATATGTTTCAAGTGGTAGTTCTAATTTCTTGTCTTTTGGAATTAACCTTTAGATTGAGTGTTAATTTGTTTTTGTTCTAAATATTCATGAAACGTTTGCTTCTTGATGCAAACAACAATCAATTATTAATCATTTATTTGTCAAGTTTTTAAGGGGAAATCGATCATAATATACTGACGGACTTTAGAAACGCAACATACATTTTGGTAATTTTTTTTTACCAAATCATGATTGATCCTCATAGAACTACTATTCATGCTTTCCATATTTCTTTATGTTTAGAAAAATTCAATACCTGACTTACCTGAGGTTATTGAACATTCCGGATTTTTGAAGTCGCACGAATTTCTTAAAGCGAAATTTAAACTGACCTATAAATGATTTTTTTAAGGTTTTTTATTCTTGAAACAATTCTTTCAATCCATACCCACACTTGAATCATTAAAAACATGTTGAATCTCCATATTGTTGGGACTGAGCAATGCAAATCTTAATCAGGCCATAAGAATACTGCAGGCAGGAATACGTTAACGTGCTGTTTCCAGACAATTTCACGTCAGAAACTCGTCTTACTGTCCTTACAACAACGATACAGGCAGAAGGGATGTGTTGATGGCCATCCATGACCAAATCAATATGTAACTTGACAACGCAACGTCAATAAAAGGAGTTGGTCCGATAAGACCCCTTTTTAGCTACAAAATATAGCGTTTTCACAAAAATGTGAAAAATGTAAACCTTTAGCTATTTTTGGAGAGTACAATACTTTTGTTACATAAATATGGGATGTTTTTGACAATACAATGGACATGCATCAGGTACTTGCATCATTATGTCATGCAAAAATACTGAAATCTTCACAATTTTAGCAATTGTGCTAATTTTAAGACGATTTTTGTCTAAAATGGAAGTGGCCGCACTTGTGTTCAGTCTTCATGTTTAAATATATATGTTGTATTTACTGATAATGCATAACATGTATAAATGTTGAGACTGAACACGAATGCGGCCACTTTCATTTTAGACAAAAACAATCTGAAAAATGACGTTTTATGGCATATTTGATAGATTTTTTTATATTTAAGCTTGAAAATAAGCGTCTTTAATGACAAAATTAGTTCAAATCTATAGCATAAACTAATTGAATCGACTGAAGTAGACAGTTAAGTGTTTAAAAAATGTCAAACATCTTTCATCAGATGTATTTTGAATTTTACGCCGAAATTAGCCCTTATACCGGACCTTCTCCTTCTTAACGCAAAATTGATAGGCAAGGGAGATAAGTACAACTCTAGTTAAGAAAAGAAACGGGAATCTATATTTTTTGGACTAAAAAAGCTGTCCTAATAATTTTTCTTTGATTCTAGCAAGGTTTCGTTAAAAAAATCAACTTTCTAAAGTCTATATCTCCAAAAAGCCTACCATTGTCGCCTATGCTTTTTGCAATCTCAAGTAACTTGTTTAACCCCGACGCATGCTCTGTTGTCTGTACTATTTATTTTTTATTATTGTCATATTGTGCAATGTGGTGTTGATGACAGGTAATCTCTATTAAGTTATTCACCATCTTCTTTAGGCTTGACCGATTTATGGTTAGACTTATTGTTGAGACACCTGTCTATTTTTGAAGATCGTATGTTGACCTCTAGACGTCCTTCTTTTTTTTCATTGATGTATTTGTCTTTTGATTTTGTATTTTTAGGTGCTGTCTCCAGTGTATACACCACATTTCCTTTTATTCACATTTTTCAATAGGATAAAGTTAATATAGAGTTTAACTTTCTGGTAAAAATGAGCATTCAAATACCAAATATATTTCTCAAAGAATTTATAACTGGCAAAGTTGTAAAAACGTCATTGTCAATTTTCCTTATCAGCTTAAACGAATGATGTCACTATTGAAGCAACAACTTCTATATACATTTAGAGCACCTCGGTTTATCCTGTTTTCGTGTTGCTTTTTATTTATTTTTTTTGTATTACTTTTGTCATGGTTAAATAGATGTCATTTGTTTAATTCTTAGACAATACAAAATTCGTAAATTCTCAGTACATGTAAATTACATGTGTAGCCCTTGAACATGAACAAATGCAAAACACTGATCTAGAAATACAAACTAACTTCCATATCATGTGGTCTCTGGTAGAGTTGTCTCATTATCAATCATACCATATCTTGTTATTTTTATAGCTTTACTCTATATAGCAACTGATTTCTTTTTTGACTTTATAGGTTTATGTTAATTACTTATATGAAAACTAATTTCGTCTTAGTATCTTACTTAAGTTTGCTTGTATCCAATATGAAAACAAATTTCTTCTTACATTCTATACTGGCAACCTAAGTATACGAAAACTACATTCTTTTCACTTTTTTCATATTTTTCCTGGTAGCCTATATGAAAACTAAATGCTACCGACTTTGTTAAAAGATTTTTGCTTGTAGCCTTTATGAAAAACTTTTTTTTTATCTGATTTTATCTGGTCTTTGTTTTGTAACCTTTGAAAACTACATTCGTTTTACTTTGATGAGTTTTTACAACCACTGGGTCGAAGCCACTGCTGGAAGACGTTTCGTCCCCGATGGTATTACCAGGCCAGTAGTCCGCACTTGTATGCTGACATGAAATATCATTAATATGTTCTTTTTCTGAAAATTTACAGTTTATGTAATATTGAAATATTCAAAACACTATGTTTTTTCTACCCCAAGTATAGATTACCAGAGCCGTATTTGGCACAACATAATTTATTTTCGATTATTTATACTCTTCAATTTTGTATTTTATGTGGCTTTCCAACTGTTTGATGAGTTTTTACAGATCTTTGCTGGAACTTATATGAAAACTATTTTTTTCTAACTGTTTTAAAGACATTTGCTGGTAGCCTATATGAAAACTAATTTGTTCTTACTTTTGTACTGGTCTATGCTGCAAACCTAGGTATATGGAATTGTTCATTTTACATACTTTGTGACGGGTCTTTGCTGGAAAACTATATGAAAAGTAATTAGGCATTGAGGGCAGCCTATATGAAAACTAAATTATTTATATTTTTTTTTATCTTTGCACGTATCCTTTATGTAAAAAGTTCTTCTCAACTCTTTACATGTCTACCTGAAAACTAATTTCTCTTACTTTTTTACCGATCTGTGCTGGTAGTTTATGTGCAAATTAAATTAATATCTTACTTTTTCACAGATCTTTGCTGGAAACCTACATTAAAACTAATTTCTTCTTACTTTTATGCAGGTCTTTTCTGGTAATCTACATTTACATGAACACTGAACTCATCTTACTTTTTACAGTTGTTTTCTGTTAGCTTTTATGAGAACTATTTTCTTCTTACCTTTTTTACTGATATTGCTGGTAGCCTACATTAAAACTACGCCAGTTAAATTTCTTCTTACATTTCCAACAGATCTTTGCTTGCTGAGCGCGCGCAAGCTTAGCTCTAATCAAAATGAAACCATTACTACATGGCAGGCACAAGTACCACAATTGGTAAAAGTTATTCCAATCCAATTAAGTTCTTTCAATCAAAGGAAGATCAAAAGTAGGTTAACAAAACGTTTTAAACTCAGTGAAAATTTCGTGAAATAATTTTCAGGGAAATTGGATTAAAACAAGACACTTCCGGAAGGAATTTTGTTATTCAAACGAATTAATAGGAAATCCGCATCTACACCCCTCTCAAAATCATTACATGTATACATTAATATTATTGATTTTTCACTGAAATGTGAATTTTTCATTTCTTTCCTGTTTTTCCGATACACAATTCATACATTATCTACATTCTAATATCCTTAATCACAATACTACATATATATCGACAAATGTTACGATAAAAAGTGAGACATCTGCGCCATGAAGTATGAATTGCTCGGTAAACTTAGTTTAAAATGTGTATTAGTTGGAGACAGTGAATGTGGCAAAACTGTTCTTGCTTCCAGGATAACATCTAAGGAGTTCAGAGCGGAATATGTACCTACTATGTTCGACAATTATGCTGGTAAAGTAATAGTATAGATATATATGATAGTGCGGAAATCGCGGAGCAAATAAGAAAATTTAGTTTTCAAAATTCCAATCTCTGTCTCATCAATGATTGATCTTTGGTTCCATGAACGTATATCCCCCATCGCCGTTTTTTGTTCAAATAAGGAGGCTACGGAATATGACTATATCTAATTTTACTGCTCAAAGGTCCACCTTGTGGGGCTCTAAAAATTGTAACATAAATGTAGGTCAGTATATACACTATAAATTCAATATCTATCTTTTATTCAAAAGTAAATGACAAAAAAGTCTTTTCAATTCAGATATCTTCTTAATTTTCCCACCCGTGTCTTCCACTAGTAGAACCTTTCATTCATTAGCTGATTTCATATAATGTCATTCCAATAAATCAAATAAACATATGGAAGTAATATGATCTGTTACTATGGAACTATAGATATGAGGTAAAGAAAAAGGAAACCCTTTTTTATTTAGAAAGAAAGGAAATAAATATATACAAGCAAAAACACACATACAAAGCATATTGTGTATTCAGTGTAAGATTTGTAACAAGGAATATATAGTTTTCGTTCAAGATCATAATTTTGTATATTCATATGGTGTCAAAAAGGGCCAATTACAAATCTTTTAAAATACATTATCTTGATATTTGCAAATATGAACTTTCTTACAAAAAATCCCTCGCCTAATTAAGGCCGAATTACTATATTTAAACACTTCCTATACACAAACAGGTATATAGATAGATCATACAAGGTGTAAAATGAGTATCCATACACATGCGTTCAAACAGACATTTTTTTTTGTAAGAAAATTTTATTTTCTTTCTCTATTTCAGCAACAATATTTGTTGATAATGTACCATATCACCTCAGCTTATTTGATACTTCCGGTCGGGTAAGTTTTCCTCTTTCCGGATTATGATGAAATATAATGTATTTTACAAGTTTAACCTTTCCATAAAAGGTATGAGTGATTCTCAGTTTCATAAATTAACGTCAGCTTTTGTTTATGTTAGAGTGAATTTTTATGGGAAAATAAAGTTTTGATTTTAATTTCATAAGTGTTTATTAGTTTTCTCTTTTTTCAATTTTCGGATACTTTGAACTTAACTGCAGTCAAGTTTAGAGTTTTGCCATTTATAATAATGTTGCTTGTATTGAACAAATGGAAATTTGAATTTGAATTTCAGAATGTCAAAATATTAGTAAATGACACATAAAGTGCGATCTAACAGGGAAAGGACTCGTGAAGAAAAATTGAGCGCCATTCGCTCTGATGGTCACGAATGAGGGACTTTAGAAGTCCATAGATACCCTCTATTTTTTTGTCACATAACAGTTTCTGTACATAGCGAAAGTTATACATACATTGATGCATTAAATTTAGATTTACCATGTACCGAGGGTTACCGATACAATGTTGGCGTTATGTACTTGATCGTGTTACCTCAGGGCACCACTGGCAACATTTGCATAAAGTTTCAATAGGTTGGCTCTTTGACAAAATATTTAGAATTTTGATTTTTTTTTACATATTTGCTGTATCCATGGTAACGGTGGCCATTATGAACCATTACAATGTCTCTTGCACAACTTCACACAGTGGTCCACATTAGTTTTTAAAACTTTTAAACAGTGAATGCACATAAATACATTACAACATATCAGTCCGGTATGCGGTTTAAATAGAACAAAAGAATTCGAACTCTTGTGTTTAGAAGGTAGAAAAGTGAAATGAACTTTGTGTACGGTTGTCAAGATGACACAAAAGTTACTTTCCGTAAAAACATTATGAATATTTGCATTCACGTTAATAAATTTTCATATTGTACAACTGTTAACAATGCAACTTGCAAACAATCGTTTTTAAAACGACCATAAGTCAAGTTGTTACGTCAATTAGGGGGTCTACTTATAAACTGCTACTTTTTTTTGCCCGACATAGAAAAAATCTGGGGAAAATTACGAATATTGAGAAATGAATTATCAATCGGTTAAGACCATTCCCAAAGTGGCACACCTAAATTTGACATTTGTATGCAATTTCAAAGTTGGGTGTTATATGGCGGGGTTTTCCTCATTGATTAACGCATCGAACACACCCCGTCCTATATATGTAACATCACATGACTTTTTAGTGATTAAAACTATTATTTAAAAATAATATTTGCATGTTTGACATGTTGTTTTTCTTAAACAATAACAATTACTCCGACAGTCATAATTTCTGTATTATTTAAAAAGTTTTGTTACACATTTTGTTACACCTTAGTTATGCGGTAACCCAGATTGGTTGACCATTGTCAAGTTGAGTTTTTGGGGTAGCATAGATTTATATCGTTGTATTCCTCTTGTTTGTGTTAAACAATTGTACTTTCGGAATTATTTTTTTTTACATCTTGTATTGATCTTGTAATTTAGTTAGCGTCTTATTTCTTTGGTGTCATGTTTTGGCTATGTTTGTGTTCGACCATACAGTATTGACAAGTCGCCAATAGCGTTATCTTGTTATTTCTTGTGACTCTTTGCGTCTTATTTGTTGATTGCAGTTGGGGTTTTTTTTGTCATATGTTTCGATCGTACAACGTTTTATAAGTCGACAGTTGCCCGCCGACATGGTGTGATTTTTTTTTCTTTTGATGTGTTTGCATCTTAGGTTGGGATTGCAGTTGTTTTATCGATTTCTTTTGTGTTATATTTTCGATACATTTTTATTCGATCTTATAGCATCTTACAATTGTCCGTCGACATAATGTGATATTTTTTCTTTGATCGCTAATATTATTCATAAGATTTAATTTAATATTATTTAATTTTTTTTCTTTTCTTGATATTTTACCCACAGTCGAAAATTTGTTAGACATTAAGAGTCGTGCATACGAGATTTTGACTTAGTTAACTGTTTTACATTAGACTTAATTTTATTATATTTCTTCGCATAAGGACTCGATTGTTTTATAGTATTTTACTTAAATAATTGTCCTACTGTTAGTTGTATGTTAGTTCTTCACAACTCAGAAACAGATTCAAGAATATTAAAGTTCTTTGCATAAAGACTCACTAATATTAGTTTTTACCTTATACGGTGGCTCGCTATAATTTCAGTTTTTCTTATACATGCTCACTATTACAACTCTAGTAGTACACGAGTGTCTTCATATTTCATGTACTACACATACGTATATATTACTCTAGCGTGTTTTCATTCTTGTTCAAACTTTTGGGGTCCTATTTAGAGCTAACAATGTCGCTACTAGTGCCCCATAATTAGTATTGTTTTTGAAAAGATTATTTTAAGGATAATTTAAAAATTAAGTCTTGAAATTGCATTTGTGTTTCATGAAGTAGTCAACAAAAATCTTTTACGTATTAACCCAAAGTATGATGAACTTCAAATCTAAACACAAATGCCTACTGTGCGTGAAATGTTAGTCAACCAATTATTGGCGGTGTTACCATAACTCATGCAAACTCTCAGATTATCTTCAATTTGGTCTAACAGTATGTTTAACATACGGTCGGATGATTGTATCTGCAATGTATGCAATATAAAAATGGCGAAATTATTTCAGGAAAGCCACCATGTAAGAGACCAAAAAAAAACAGACATCCATCAGTAATGTGTAAACATCGGACAACATAACCTTGAAATACTTTATATGTCAAAGGTTTTTGGAAGTTATGGAGGAACATATTATTGAGTCGCCAACTAATCCCACCAAAGTTTTTCTTTGCGAATCGCGTTGTAAACGATCGCGGGACACGATACATTTCTTGTCAATAACATGTAGTATGCCACATTGGTCCGAGAAAATCGCCCGCAAACGCGATCTTCGTCAAATTACCGACTTTGACGTTATACTAATTATTTGTTTGCAATCAAGAGGAAGAATATCTTTAATTATCAAAAGAAAGCAACATCTGTGAAACATGCAACAATGCTCTATCAAAGCAAGCCAGGAAACAATCTCTCAACAAGGAAGTAACCATTTAACTTCAAAGGGGGGTATGGTTTTCTTGTCTGAGCTCGAACGTTTTTTTCGCCTCCATCAATCAATTTTTTTTCAAAATTTAACACTATAAGGTATGGGGAAATCAGAATTCATAATATTTTTTTGGTTATAAATTTTGCCTGACAACAATATTTTTTCCATCGAATTGGGGATCAGACGATATTTTTTTTGGAATAAATCTTACCCCTCCCCCTTTTTCACCTTTTGAAGTTAAATGGTCGTTCACTTATGTAAATAACCAGCACAAAGACTTTCATTATCTTTTTTCTACATTCCAAGACAACCTTCGCACTGTTCAAACCAACCTTGAAAACTTTGTCCTTACACATACTTACCTCCATGTTATTGTCTCAAGTCTGATTATTTAAAGACAAATATTTCAGTCTCTGCACCCAACCCTTACAATCAACCAAGCCGTCGCTAATACGGTGCTTAAAAGAACAGCGGCTTGGATTAAAATTGTACTTGTAGACAGTCTTTGATAATCTGTTACAGTTTTATACAAGAGTAAGTCCTTTGTTGTTAATAATAAAAACGGAAACTATTATCATGTTTTGGAAAATATCCACAATTTGCTTGATATTGACAAATCAAAAATTCAAGTCACATGGTAATTGTTGGGGATGCTAAAACCTTCGACATATTTTGTAAGTTTAAAAATGAATATACTGAAGACCTTTTTTGTGTGGTAACATTTCCGGTTGACTGGCAGATTTTATAGAATGTACAGCCTGTTTTATTTAAAATTTATTTTGATCATGATGCTGGTCTTAAAAAGATAACGAAAATTAAGCATATGTTCTTTTAATTGTTCTTGAACAGAACTCCAATCTAAAAAAAAGAGTTCAGATGATCAAGTTCTTTGAACAAAGAGAGAGGGGAAACCAATGGCACTGCTATATCATCTCAGAAATTATATCACAAAAATATAGCTTGTGTTAATAAATATATGAAGCAGAAGAAAAACAACTGTCCATCTGAATTACCATCAGTATTACAAATATATGAAAGATACATTAACATCCCTTCTGTTATGGATAAATTTGACAAATTCTGTATGGAAAAAAAAAGACAGTTCCTATAATTTTATTCATATAGATTATTTCTCCTACATAAATTTATATATTGCTTTCTATAGTTCAAGTTGGAATCTCAGATTAGCATCACTTTAAAACCTCTCCCCTCTGTTCCATGCCTTCGGTCGGCATATGTACTTCAGAATAATTCCAAGACATCTGACTGTCAGATGTATAGCAGAACTTCCACACAACATTTATACGTGCTTTCAAAGTGGGGGCTTTTCTAAGATATTTTTTTTTTTTTTTTTTTTAAGATTTAAGATTTATTGTAAAGCAACGCTCAGACACATATATGTGTAACATGAGGTAAATATACAATAATAAACATGATTTCAGCGTAACAGGTAGGGCATGTCAGTTGCTTGCACTAGACGAGGCCCATGATTCTCTTATACACTGTGATGTTAAGGAATCTATTCGGGAACAATCTCCATAACTTCTTGATAAAACTACTGTCTATCATCCTTTTCGATACTGCAAAAAAAAATTCAAACAAGCAATTAAAGCGGGGGTTCCAACCACATGTTCCCCATACAAACCGTGATCTGAACATGTAACAGTGGTTTGATTCCGCCAGTGTAGTTTATCCGGAGGAAGAAAATCCCCAGTGATTTTTATCCACCAACGAAAATTCACTAGGTTTTTCTATCTGGGTCCAGTGTAAAACATCCACCAGTCATTATAAGGTTCTTAAAAGGTTTTTTTGAAGGGGAAATATATATAAAATGTGGCTTTATAGTTTTTAGTGTATTTGAAACTTGCATAGTTGATTTATGTAAAAAGTGGAGAGTTTTCATCTAAGGAATGTTCACACTGGTGTTTTTAAACAAGGAATGATTACACTAGTGATTTTGTACCGGAATGATTGCACTAGTTATTTTATACCGGGTTTAATTAAACTAGTGCTTTAGATCCATACATTAATTGCTGAAGCGATTAGTACTCATTTGAACACACGATAACACATTAATGCTTATCAACGAATAAGATTTAAATAATTTTTCTATGCAAATCTATAAAATCATAGCTTTTAAATTGTCACTAATTATAATATTTATATTTATTGGATTGCCGAAGTTTTTCTGTGTATTTGCTTTTCGGTCGACTTGGATATAAAATCATATCTTCCTTTTCAATATCAAAGGATGCTTCGATAATTGAAACTTTATGTAAGAACAAATCTGCTCTTTAAATTTGGTTTATATCAAGTTCAATGGCCTGATCATTGATACAGTATTTTGAGTTATAAAAAACATCCTCCTCATCATCATCAATATTATTTACTAGATTGACTCAGATTAATTAAACTGGTTCCTTGAATATCGTTTTAATTTTAACCCATTTATTTATGTAAACAATAAACCGGTTTAATATAAACAAAACAACGATATCAAGATCGACGCTTTCACACTATTTACATCCAATATTCTCTAGTGAAAAACAGTTACCCGGAATAAATACACTGCGGAATGAAAGTACGCTTACAAACACAGGACTCTTCCCCGGATCTGCCACTGGATTTATACATCAGATGCATCACAAAGTATATACATGTTATGATATATACTAGTATATGAAATAAAGAAAAATATAAAAAGAAAATGTTGAATTATCATTAATGTCTACGAAACCACAAGATCCTACTTAATTGACCATGTTTTCAAATCATATCAAATGTTTCCTTTGGTCTTTACTTGTTGGAAAAATGTACTGAATTCATTGTTAGCTAAATTATCAATGTTCGGTTATTGCCTATTCTTTCGAGCTGTCTGTTTAACTAATGAATTGAAAAAGAGGGGATGGATATACGTATTTAACATTTGGCTATATTTTCAACATATCTAACAAATATGTGAGAAATGGTAGGTTTAGAATACGAAATATCTCTCTTATTCTGTAAACTGGTATTGTAGGATTGTTAAGGTATTCCGGTGTTTTTAAAGCACCCCCCTCCCCTTTTTTTGTAATATACACCACAAAAACATTTAGTTAGGATAAAGAACCAATAACCAGTAGTCCTATTGTCACGGAATAGAAGTTCCTTTATAATATAAGTTCCAAAAGGAAAAAATGTTCTGGAATATTATTTCCGCAGGAATATAAGAATTCGGAGGTTCATATCATTTACATTCAACGTTTTTATCGGATTTTTTTTTACTATCAATGTTGAATTTCATATCATTTACATTCAATGTTTTTATCGGATTTTTTTTTACTATCAATGTTGAATATAAGTCTTCGGAGGTTCATATCATTTACATTCAACATTTTTATCGGATTTTTTTTTTACTATGAACCGTGCAACATTGAAAGTAAAAAAAATCCGACAAAAATTTAAAACGTTGAATGTAAATGATATGAACCTCCGAAGTCTTATATATAGTCCTATAGTATAAGACCTCTGAGGTTCATATAATTTACTAGTACATTCAACGTTTTTATCGGATTTTTTTTACTATCAATGTTGAACGATTCAACATTGATGGTAAAAAAAATCAGATAAAAAACGCTGAATGTACTAGTAAATGATATGAACCTCAGAGGGGTTATATATTATAGGACTACAATAACCCAGTAAATAGAATAATTGAAATTGAGTTAATTGTGTGTGAGAGGCGCTTTCTAGCAACTTTATGAGTGTGTATTATATAATGTTACAGTGTAACAAACCTATCAAACACACCCGTAAAAATAACATTATCTCCCCTGGAAATGCTTAACAACAAGACACAAAAAACTGCTACCTTTTTTTGCTCTATATCACATAATTATGAAAACACATTAGATAGATAGGGGATACTGTGGTTGTGTACATGTTTGAATGTGTAGGTGGCACACTCAGAACGATCGTCTCTAGATTTTTTACAAAATTTCTACCATCGGTTTCCGGGTTCTCGTAGCAACACGTTTCTTTCCCTTCCAGCTATTCCTGATTATGAATTAATCTAAAACATGCATTTATCCTAAAGCAACAACTATTAAACAACTCACCTATACCAATGAGGATCGTCTAATTCCTAACTGATTCCTTTAATCGTACCTGTCCTGACGACACCCATCGTAGTCGCGTCTACCATTGGAGGTAGCGAAATTACATGATTTGACAGGAGAGCGAAATAAACAAGGGGAGCAATTTTATCGAACCGCATCCCGGACTGATATCTATTTGTAAATTCTCAGGACGTTTGGAGCATTTTTTTTTTAACTTTTCACATTTTTACTGTTTCCATGGTAAAGGTGGCCATTCTGGAAATTCCAAAGTCGAATGCTACATCTGCCCACACCAATTAATATTGTGTATGATTTATGTAAATGAAAATGGGTCTATTACAATTTCAAGACAGAAACTTACCACCCAAAGTCTGGGTCGGCAGTTTCCATGTTTTATATTGACTGCGCTCTCCCCGGCCCCAGCCAATCCTAAAAAAGCCGTCAGATATCAGAGCAATCTCGGACTATATGTAAATGTTCATATATATATATCAGTAGTTTTTGATGTTTTTGTTATTTTTAAGTTTCTCACACATGTAACATTCTCATTTCTTTTATTATTCTTTTACTTCATGAATAATCTGTTTTTGGGGGGTTTTTCGACATTCAATGAAAAAAAATCTAAAGATAAAGTGTTCATAGTCTCTGTCAATGACAGTTTTTTCACAACTTATCTGTTATAACTTTATATATCGTGTGGGCGCTATGTCTTTTCTAGTTTTAACTTCAAGTCTTGCTTGGGTTTCGTTTCACTGAAACTCAAATTTCCATTTATTCATACCAAGATAAAAAAAAAATACACAATATAACCTAAAACTTACTTGTTTTCCAGGACGACGTAAGTTCAAGTAAGCTCAGAGTTCTGTCATATTCTAAATGTGATTTGTTTCTGGTATGTTTTTCTGTACAAAATGAACAAAGTTTAGAACATATTGAGGAGAGATGGATCCCAGAAATACGCATGCATCAACCAACCACACCATTTATCTTAGTCGGAACACAGATTGACAAAAGATTTGAAACACCAGATATACAGGTAAATAAATCTCTAAATAGCTCGTATAAATAAATAATTTAAGATTCTACCACACCTCCCTGTTGATTACGATATTAATACCTTCTCGCGATAGTTAAACTTGAAACTTTTTACAAACGCGAGGCTTACCGAGCATTACATAATACGAAAATTTAACTATCTAGTAGTCAACAGGGTTAAGTGGTAGAATCTGCTTCTCTAATGATCTAACGAAAAATGCCAAACGGAATGCTCCAAATGGATATGACGGGGAATAAAATGAGACAAATTTAATCAACGTTTGATAAATATCTGAACTTAGTCTATCTCGTTGTCCTTACTTTTTGAAAATAGCAATTTTAGGCTGAAATCCGTTTTCGTAGTTGGTAAAATCCTTTTTATTTTAGTTTTAGAAACACCACCCATCGAGTTTTTTAGACAAATATTGAAGTGAATATATTAAAAACCCACTCTTTGACATGTGCATTAGCTATACTCCAAAATAAAATAAAAACTCTCATTTTAGTTGTTGCGCTGTTCAAATAGACCACGATCTTTTGATTAATGGATGTAACATTTTTCACTTGTGAGGAAACTGGCTTTTTTATTAATAAAGTTCACATTATTAGAAAAATTCCTGAAAGAATCTATACTGTATAATTTATCATTATCAAGTAACCTTATTAATTACAAAACCCCGCTATTAACTTGTGTGTAATTTAACGGGGTACTTTATGCATATAAATTAGGTCTATTTCTGAGAGTACGCAACAAGTGTCAGTTTGGCTGTGCGGGATGTATAAATACACCGTGGGCAGCCAAGACTGATCAGAATGTGTTCGGCTCTTGTACGGAATGTGTCGCGTTTTCTGTACGTTTAAGAACCCTCCCAACAACCTACCATGTTCGTCCGCAGACACGGCTTGTTGCAAAGTATATTGCTGTCCTTATCAATCATACCTCTTTTTCCAGCGACATCCCAGTCAACCGACTTTCTGCCTTAACTTGAATATTTTCTTCGTATTGGATTTATGCGATTTGAACATTGGTCATCTACTGTTGCCTATAATTTGCAGAGCCTACAAAATATAAATTATTTTATTTACTTCCCTTTCCGATGGAAAGTAGCTGCGTATTTATAAACCCATGCCAGCACAGAAAAACAGACGCCCTTCTTAGGTCCTTCTTACGCATCAGTTTTAGTGTCGGACGGGGAAGTCCAGTCAAGTTGATAATATTTATATATAAGTATGTGTGATCATGTGTAGTTATGTAGCGACATTCCAGTACCACCCGCATATCGGGTATATGTCACTAAGTAGATACGATATTCAAGAGTTTGCGTTTACTATCATGATATCCTTAATAAATGGTTTTTGTTTAAGTGGAAGCTATCTAACAAAGAGTCCCTTAAGCTGGATTTATCTATCCAAATTTTTCATGTATGACATCATGATTTGAATTGCTCTAACGACATGAATTATGTTGCTATGGTGTTCAAAAAACCCGTTTTCTATTCCTCTTTAATGACTTCACCGCATACGATTGACTATAGGATTTACAATTGTAACGGACAACTTAACAGATGCTGCTAAACCAATATTGTGATACCTAATGATCGGTTATGTTACATCAACGTTTAATCAGAAGCAACACGGTGGTTGCACCAGTGGAGCAGGAGCTAATCCTTCCAAATTAACTGAGAGGAGTTAGTGCTGTTCAATCTTTGCTTATCTGTGTAGTGTTTAGTGGACTTTTTTATATTCTCTCTCTCAGACATGGCGTTCTCGGTTTATCTTCCATTTATGACATTTATTGCCTTATTGGTATCTTTTCCTCCCTTTTATAAAATTTTCTTCTTTAGGTGAAATCAAATATAAAAGTCTCTCCTGCGCTAGCTTCTGATGTGGCAGTGAGAACAAATGCTGAAAGTTATATAGAGGTGTCTGCTTTATCAGAAGATGGTGTTTACGAACTTGTAAAAGAAATAGTTGTTACTGTCAACAGGTCTCCAGTAGACAAAAAGCAGAAGAGCACATGTAAATGTTGTAAATTACTCTGATACACAATATGTTTTTAGCCTTTCCAGTTCATTCAGATGCTTTGTTTTGATAATGCACAGACATACTAGCTAAAAAGATATTTGTTATGAAACAAAAATTAAAGACACAAGCACGTGAACATGTTTTATTGTATCCTGAAAGCTATGTTTTTTTTTTAATTATTCGACATGCATAATAATGATATTAGATAAGAGGACATGTGATATTTGTTATATAAATAATTTGTCAAAAACTTTGAAATGTTTTATAATTAGTTGTAAATAATTCAGTTTGTGCGATGTTTTTTTTTTTATTTGTTTTGTAAAAAAATCAATGTATTTAATATGTATGTAATGTACTTCATTTCAATATACATTTGTTTTATAAATAAATGTAATTCGAAGAAATTATAACATTAATTCATTTTTCTATCTGACCAAAGGATTTTTATACTATTATAACCCTTGATCTGATCAAACGTAAATGATATATTAACGATGGATGTAAATTAATTTATTTGATGCAATAATGCACTCTTACGTACACAGTGCATTTTGAGTCATAAAATTATAATTGAGATGAAGATGTCTTACAGTCTCGGGTGGTTTTTTTTTGTATCTAAATATTTTGAAGTTTTTAACTCGATGAGGTTGTTACATTTCAGTGAATATTTTTTGGTATATCTGACAAAGATTGTTCCTACAAAACCTTACTTTTCAGTCATTTCCCTTTAGGTCAGTCTGTAATGTGAATAATATCAATGGATTTTTTAGTGGTATTTAGCATTAATTCGTGTCATCAATCAGCCAATTAGCCAACTAACAAAAATAAAGGCAGAATCTTATGATACCAAATAATGATATGTAAATAAAAAAGAAGACTTTGTTCCATATTTTATAATATGAGGTACGTGCTTCCTGATGAGCTCCAGAAGGTAATTGGGTTTTAAAGAGCATTTTGTATGTATGACTTACTTGTCTGTTGCAATGACACGTGACTCGTCGGGTACTTACCACCCACGTTAAAACCTTTTGGAATTTTGGATCTTCAGTGCACTTCAAATTCGTACTTCTGTTTTGGCCCTTTTAACTTTTGTTATTCGATCGTCACTGATGAGTTTTATATACGAAACGCGCGTTTAGCGTACAAAATTATAAGTAAGGTTTCTTTAATGACTTTTTTTTATCCGTTTTCACTCCTTCGGGATTTTATATGATTTCCTCGGTTTTTCCTTTTTACCTTATTTATATCTTCTTAACTTCTTAATGGATTTGAGCATCAGTAAACTTCTATTCAGTGGCGGATCCGGGGGTGGGGTTTCGGGGGTTGGAACCCTTCCTTTTTTGTGACGATCAATGCATTTGAATGGGGACATATAGTTGGAACCCCCCCCCCCCCCCCCCCTTTATCCTGGGTTAGGATCCCCCCTTTTATAAATGGCTGGATCCGCCCCTGCTATTGCCTCAAATCTATTCAATGTTCATGGTTTAAAGACTTCTATACATATAGTTGTGTGTGATTGAAGAACAGTATGTCTACACAGGAAAAATTATCATATATTTATTTAATGTTTTACATTTCTCACATTCTCACTCATGATCACGTGACAGAAAGTTGTTTAATTGTCATGTTGTTGAAGATTTTTCAATGCCATAGATTTTAGACAATAATCGACCCTTCACCACCTTAGGCAGCTCAATAATAAATTAAACATTATTGAATAATTACACTTATAAATGTGAAAACGAACTGTGTCAAAATATTCATATTTCCAGTTTCTTGTTATGCATCTATAAACATCATTTTGTTAAGTTTAACACATTACTGCCTTGAAAACTGTAGAATTTACCGCGAAGCACTGGCTACTGGCAACTTGTTTCCTCGGGGACCAACCAGCAGTAGTACAAAGTAGTATTTATAAACGATATCATTCTATTGTCGATTTCAATGAACACGATAGATGCTAACTGTAATAACTTTTCACTAGTTCGCTCAAGACAAATACGTAGTTGGCAAAATACATAACATTTTTTAGAGATCAAAACCAAAATGGCCTAGCTATGCGAGAAAAAAACCAAAAGTCTAGTATGTTAAATTATATGGGTTATAAAACAACATAATCAGCCGAACTTTTAGATATGTATCGTCTATTTTTGAGAGTGCGATATACGTATGACTATAGAATAACACACAAGGTCCATATGTGGGGAGTGAATATTTCTCGATCGTGGGGCAAGAGATGTTATGAAATAGCACATAAACTTGGCATACATGATATTATTGATAGTCAATATTCCAACAGACATAAAATTTATGATATTAAAACAAAATTGTGTGAAATTGAAAAACAAGAATGGGTTGAAAAATTGTATCAAGATAGAAATGAACCAAATGGAAACAAGTTACGTACCTATAGACTGTATAAAAATGAATTAGAAACAAGTTCATATATAAACAAGGGTAAAACTTAATGCCCCCACCGCTACGGCGGGGGCATAAAAATGTAAATGATAGACAACATAGACGTATTTTATCTAATTTTAGAGGTGGGTGTCTACCTTTAGCAATAGAAACAGGTCGTTACACCAAGCCAAAAACTATTCTTAATGACCGAAAATGTAAATATTGTACAGTTGAATGTGTAGAAGACGAAAAACATTTTTTAATGCATTGTGAATTTTATTCAGATCTGCGATATGGTCTATTTTTGAAAGCAAGTGCAATTAACCCAAATTTTAACGATTTTAATCATGATGACAAATTTATTTTTCTGATGTCACATGACTGTATACAACCCTTTTTAGCAAAATCTTTATATTTTATGTTTAATCGCAGAAAATATTGTATATAGTTTATTCTTTTATTGTAAAAGTTTTATTTATTCATTTTTAATGAATGTTAGAATAAGTCTTTAAGCGGAAGTGTCTCATAAGTCAGTTGTGGCTGGATACCGATATTTTAACTTCGATTGAAATTTTTTTTTGTATTTCTATACTTATATTATAATGTATGATATTGTTCTGTATTGGTATGTGACACTATAATAAAATATTCTGTCTGTCTGTCTGTCTGTCTGTCTGTCTGTCTGTCTGTCTAAGTAGGTAATGTTATATGAAGGACGTACAAAAGTTTTATTTTTTATTATTCAAAATTGCGGCTTACAATGTCAGTCACACTACTGTACAAAACTTGTAAATCGATGTTTGTCTGTATATATCTCCCGGTCTAATAATCACATTGGGAAAATTGACCTGAAAAATAGAAAAAAAATCTTTAAAAGTAATAAATATGAGACAAAAAGATAATTTCGATTAAAATATTTTCATGAATAAAATAGGAAAATAATATATTATATATCATTTAGTTTACAACTAATTTCGATTTTCGATAACATTTGTCTTCAAAAAAGTTTAAACTGCTTCATTTAGGCCTACCTAACTATTGTTGAAGTTTAGATGTCGTATGGTTATTTGTGTCGTTGGGTTGCTGTCTCATCTTATTGACCTATAACCAACATCTCCCTTTATTCATATTGTAGATCCATTTTGATTTGACCGTTAAGGTTTAAACTTTACTTATATAAATAACTGAAACTATTTAAGTAAACCTCACATTTGATAGTAACGGTTTAAATTTACACGAATAGCTGAAACTGTTTAAGCAACAACAAACGTCACATTTGATAGTTACGGTTTAAACTTACACGAATAGCGGAAACTGTTTAAGTAAATACAAACGTCACATTTGATAGTTACGATTTAAACTTACACGAATAGCGGAAACTGTTTAAGTAAATACAAACGTCACATTTGATAGTTACGGTTTAAACTTACACGAATAGCGGAAACTATTTCAGCAGCAACAAGCCTCACATTTGACAGTTACAGCTTAAACATATATGAATTACACTTTCAGCTTAGCATTGAAATAACAATTAATTCTCTTTACATATAAGTTATTGTTAATTACGTAACCTTTATCATGTATCTTAGTTATGTTCCGGACCATATGAGTATTTGGACCATACACGTATGATCATGACCATACGCGTATATACTCATATGGTCCGACCATACGCGTATGGTCCGGGTAATTGACAAGATGAACGTTGAAAAGGTGTCACATAAATTAAGAGTTTCTAAAAATGAAATTTTGACTTATTCAATCATTAGGTAGTCATATTAACATGATTAATTTAATAGAGTGAATATTACTTACAAGCAAGAATTATAGTAAAATAATTTTAACATGGTCATTATCGATTTGTCCATACGAAACGCAATATGTCGACTTTGGAAAATTACTTCAAGAAATATCTAAATGAACTGTTAAACAATAAGTAAATCGCTTAACTCACAGGCACTTTGGTCATTCGTCTTTTGGTGTTTAAATTTGTTTTTATTAAAATATATTTTCTTAAACATTTCTTATTGTTTTTATAAATTTGTTCATGTGTTCTTGCTCCTATTCATACGATCTTACAATGACAGTAAGATAGTATGAATAGGAACAAGAACACATCAATTTAATGAAAATAAGTAGAAATAAGAAGAAATTTTGTTTCTGAAATGATAATTTAAACACTAAGAAAACAGAAAAAAAATCCATGCCCCAAACGCATGTGGTTTCACTTAACGACGAATATCGGCAGTATAAAGGCGATTAATATGAATTGACTCTTAGCGAATGCAAGATATCAGATACACCAAGATTTAGACAATATGTAAAAGATAAAAAAAATCAGAAAGTAACTTGTGCCGTTTTTTGTTCAGAGAATGAGCTGTGTGTACCTGCAAAGAAAGATAGAATTATTCGAAAAATACCCATATGGTCTAAATACTCGTATGGTCGAGCCCGTTAATAACCAAACGAGTATAATACTCATATGGTCCGACCATACGATGGTCGGACCATATGAGTATACGCATATGGCCATGACCATACGCGTTTAGTCCAAATACTCATATGGTCCGGAACAGTTACATATACCACTTCTTTGTTTCATCCTATTTTATCAAAATCTAGATTGTTGCTTAGTATGAAATCAATAACCTTATAACCTTATAATATATAATATATAGAATAACTTATTTACCCACTTTTTCATTCGTATTTCAAAAAATAATATTTCTAATTGCTATGGCTGCAGTGTCTAGTCGTATACGGTTTAAACTTACATGATTAACACTATCTGCATAATGCTGTGATTCCAAACATATTGCACTAAACTGTTTGTAGATGGCGCCACCTTTACCCTTGACATTATCTAAGAAGTATGAAGTGTAACTCTGAAGACCAGGCTCTGATGAGGAGACTTCTAATACACGACCAGACGGTGGATGCTCGACCCTACAATTATAAATCATTTTATGTAGTACATCATTGTGATACTATATAAATATTCTAATGCAGGTAATAATCTTGAATTTAAGAAGTTATGAAGCCTTTTCAAGTTACAATCACCAGGTCTATTTACCATTATAAAGCAATGAGATATCAGTCTGATCATTCATTCCTTTCAATGAGAGATCGCCTCCTTAAACTCTGTGTAGACAAGACAATGGAATTCGGGAACTGGGAGCTGCGACACCTTACGGATGTAATAACTTAAAGTCTTAATTGATGATATGTATTCTATCTAGTTCCTTTTGCAGCTCAGTGAATGTGATGAATATTTTCAACCCAATCCCGCCTGATTGCACCTGTCCAATTCGCCTTTTCAGAATCTAAAGGACTTATAGGGTTATCTCATTGTTCGTACACCAAAATGAAAATAACGTTACGTCATTGGTTGAATTTCCATTGTTTAGAACGTTTTAAACCAACGTTTTGTGTACGATTTTGAAAATATTACCAAGAATGCATTAGATTCTTAAACGGCGAATTCTCTGATCATATATAATCCAGCTGGCCATGTGATAGCTGGTCATCTCAACCTTGTCAATAACACTTCTCTACGAATTGTATAAGCAAAGAGACCGAAAACCTGTGAGCCAAAATTAATCAACTGAAAACAGCGAGGTGTGAGTTTTTGTTCTATGTTCAATATCTCACTGTGACTTTTAGATAAAGAACAGCAATAAAAACGTTGATTCTTTGCTTTTGGTCTTTTTTGGTTCGCGCAGAGATCATATCCTTTCATTTCCAAAACGATTTAGATTATGGAATAAAATTGAGAATGGAAATGGGGAATGTGTCAAAGAGACAACAACCCGACCATAGAACAGACAACAGCAGAAGGTCACCAACAGGTCTTCAATGCAGCGAGAAATTCCCGCACCCGGAGGCGTCTTTCAGCTGGCCCCTAAACAAATATATATACTAGTTCAGTGATAATGAACGCCATACTAAACTCCAAATTGTACACAAGAAACTAAAATTAAAAATAATACAAGACTAACAAAGGCTAGAGGCTCCTGACTTGGGACAGGCGCAAAAATGAGTCGGTGTTAAACATGTTTTATGAGATCTCAACCCTCCCCCTATACCTCTAGCCAATGTAGAAAAGTAAACACATAACAATACGCACATTAAAATTCAGTTCAAGAGAAGTCTGATGTCAGAAGATGTAACCAAAGAAAATAAACAAAATGACAATAATACATAAATAACAACAGACTACTAGCAGTTAACTGACATGCCAGCTCCAGACTTCAATTAAACTGATTGAAAGATTATGTCTTCATCATATGAATATCAGGCACAATCCTTCCCGTTAGGGATTTAGTATCATACCATCATAACATATATGAGAAGAACATAACCCGTGTCATGCCAACAACTGGTTTTTAAATAAATGTGTTTAGTGCCGATGCAAAGACCCTATAAGTGAATCAATATTAACGCCAAAATATGCAATCTTTAATGACCTGACAACAGTATCGTAACTATATCCCTTCTTAATAAGTCTATTTAAAGGTTTTGTTAGCTTCAGAGGTGAATACTGACCATTATTTTTTTCTATATAATTCATTTTTACTGTCACTGCAGATTTCGTACTAAGTTGTAAGCGATAACAAGCAAGTGACTTGGTCCATGTTGGTCCATGTTTTTTGCATGGCAAGCTGCAATTGATGCAAACTGTGCTATGTCATTTGCGTTCATATCGCAAAAGAAAGCGAGGTGTGCGTAAATAAGACAGCAACCAAAGTGACTACATATGGTTTGTTTGATTTTTGCACAACAAGGAATACGTTTGGGTTGACACTTTGTCTCATATGGAAAATTTTCAATGAAATTCAATCTTTAATGCCATAGTATTCAATCATATACATGATGATATATATACACTGTAAAAGTTACCTGGCACATTTTTTCATCTTCCCGCTGTCACCAACACAGTAATTTATAGTTAAACCTATGCCATCATCTATACTACTAAGTCTGTCACCTAAACGTACTGGTTTGCGGAAGTCGTAAAGCGTACCCTCCACTTTGGCTATTTCACCTTCAAATATATTCAATAATCAAAATTGGTCTTTACCTACAGATTATCTAGAAGCATTTATAAATGTTAAACACTTTTGTTAGGGTATAAAACACCTGTTATATTAATTACCAGAATGAAATGTGTGTACATAAAAGCTTCTGTCTGTCACACATTCTTATTCACGTGATAAGTTGTGCAAAAAATAATCCCGGGATATATGGTCACATGTAATGTTAGGAAGATACATATAATTAATTTTGAGGTCACTAAGTTCAACCGAAATCTTGACTGAAATAAGTGAAGAAAGGAGTTTTCTAGAAAATAACTCAAGAATCTTATACTAGATTCCAACCTTACTTAAACAGATGGTCATTTATAATGAGGAAAATATGGAACGCCATGACTGTCTTCTTATGTTGATTGTTTAATATGTTCGGTGCTTTATGCATTATGTTCAGTAGTATTTATGTTATGTTCAGTAGTTCTCATATTCTGTTCAGTAGTTTTGACATTATGTTCAGTAGATTTGACATTATATTCGGTGCTTTGGTTATTATGTTCAGTAGTTTCATTATTATATGCAGTGGTATTTAAATTATGTTCGGTACTTCTGACGTTATATTCAGTGCATTT